TCTCTCTCTCTCTCTCTCTCTCTCTCTCTCTCTCTCTCTCTCTCTCTCTCTCTCTCTCAAAACTTCCTGCCTCACAAGCTCCTCTGAAAGCTTCGTCAGGCCCAGGGCTGAAGCTTAGGCCTTCTCTGTTGGGTCAGAAAGGCTGGCTACTCTGCCAAAGGCCCATCTTCCCATTCTCTCTGACTGAGATTTCAGTATTCTGATTGCTGGGGCCTCTTCTTCTGGTGCTCAACCCCTCCCAATATCCTTGGAAATTAAGGGTTATGACCATAAGGGTATGAGATCTAGGTCCAGCCTACAAGCTATCAGCACCTCCACTTCCAGGTTGCCTCTGGGCCCCAAAGTCCACTACATCACCCACAGTCAGCAGAGACACGGTGCCAGGAAGAAAACAAAGTCAGGACTAGCCTAAGCAGCCAGGCAGCAGATGGTGAGATGGTGCCAGTCAAGTGTGGTGCATGAGAGGTAGGACCCTAGTGGGTACGGGCTTTTTTTTTTTTAAACAAAGTTTGTTTATTTATATATTTTTATTTTGTTCTATATGTGTGAGTGTTTGGCTTACATGTATGTCTGAGTACCATGTGTGTGCCTAGGGTATCAGGAGACCTGGAGACAGTGTTCTATCACTCAGACCTGGAGTACAACTGATTCTTAGCTGCCATTGTGGGTGCTGGGAATTGAATCCTGGGTCCTCTGGAAGAGCAGCCAGTGCTCTGAACTGCTGAGCCACCCCTCCGGCCCAACCTTGGTTTTGTAGATGAGATCAAGGCGGACCATTAAACCACCCACCCGTCCATCAATTAGCTGCCCACACAGTGATTGCTAGTGTCTTCGGAGTGATGAATTCGTATGGATCATCATCCTACCGACTCTGTCCCAGTCTGATAGGAAGAGACCATCCATGGCCCCATCTCACAGTGGAGGAAAACGGAGCGAAGACGGTCAGTGTGTCCAAAGTCACACACAAAGAGATGGTATGGCTCAGATTTAGGTTCAAGGAACCTGGCTCATGGGCTATGATCTGTTTTCTGTGGAACAACCAGACATCTACTCATCAGCCTCCCGCTCATCAGCCTACTGGTCTACCCACCCATTCAACCATCCCTCATACCCCCATCCCTCCTCCATCCCTCCCCCATCCCCCTTTCAACCATCTCCCCATCCATCCATCCATCCATCCATCCATCCATCCGTTCATCTGTCCATCCATCCATCCATCCATCCATCCATCCATCCATCCATCCATTCGTCCATCCATCCATCCATTCATCTGTCCATCCATCCATCCATCCATCCATCCATCCATCCATTCGTCTGTCCATTCGTCTGTCCATCCATCCATCCATCCATCCATCCATCCGTCTGTCCATCCATCCATCCATCCGTCTGTCCATCCATCCATCCATCCATTCGTCCGTCCATCCATCCGTTCATCTGTCCATCCATCCATCCATCCATCCATCCATCCATCCATTCGTCCGTCCATCCATCCGTTCATCTGTTCATCCATCCATCCATCCATCCATCCATCCATCCATCCATCCATCCACGTACCCTTCCATCCACCCGTCCACCCACCCATCCATCTGTCAATCTCCCAGTCTATTCATTCCTTAGCAAGCTGGCTCTCTGTTTTTGCCTGTCTCTATACCTACCCTCCCATGTCTAGGCTAACACTCCAGCTGTTTGTCCATCTGTGTGTCCACACATTCATCTGTCCATCCACTCACCCACCCTACTCATCCATTTTCTGACCAACAAGTTAGCTAGCTGTCTGTCCATCTATTTAACCCTTCCACCCACCAACTCACTCCCTAGTTAGCAAGCCAAATGCTGTCCATCCATCCATCTATCCCTCAGTTCGTCGGTCCATCTATCCATCCATCCATCCACTCTCTCGTCAGCAAGCCAGAAGTCTATCCTATGATCCATTCTATTCCTTTGTCTCCTGCCTCTGATTCAAAGTATGGTAAGAGGAGGAGTATCTATCAAGTCTCTGAAGACAGAATAGGATGTGCTTAAGAAGTTGGCTGCAGGGCTCGTGCCTTTGAGTTCGAGGCCAGTCTGGTCTAGACAGTGGGTTCCAGGACAGCCAGGGCTGTTATGCAGAGAATCCCTGTCTCAACAAATAAAAACAAGCTGGGCAGTGGTGGCGCACGCCTTTAATCCCAGCACTTGGGAGGCAGAGGCAGGTGGATTTTTGAGTTCCAGGACAGCCTGGTCTACAGAGTGAGTTCCAGGACAGCCAGGGCTACACAGAGAAACCCTATCTCGAAAGAAAAAAAGAAAAAAAAAGAAAGAAAAAGAAAAACAACAAACACCTCCCCAAACCTAAATAAACAAAAAGCAAAACCAAAACCAAAACAACAACAAAAGAACTCAGCTTGTGGCATAGAGAGTAAAGAAAACAGCAAGAGATGAGAAGACAGAGATGGCTCCAATCAGGAGGGCTGGTCCATTCTCATCTATCCAATCAGGAGGGCTGGTCCATTCCCATCTATCCAATCAGGAGGACTGATCTATTCCCCATCTATCCAATCAGGAGGGCTGGTCCATTCTCATCTACCCAGCAACACATCATCCGCAACTCCGAATCCCTTTTTAGCACCCATCAGTTGTCTTACACTCTGTAATTTAGAAGGCGGGTGGACAGGTAAGTAAACAAGAGGGACAAACAGGAGGCAGGGATCCGGGCTTAAGGAACGAATTCTACTATATAGAGAGTTTGAAGCAGGTAGACAAGGGCCTGTCACTGAGCAAGAGCATTCAGGACTGGAGAGGTGGCTTGGTGGCTTGCTGACGGGATTCAGTTCCCAGCACCCAAATGCTGACTTTTAACCACTGTAATTCCAGTTCCAGGCGGCCAACCGCTTTCTTCTGGCCTATTTGGGTTTCTGCAGGCATGCATGCGGTACTCATACATATATACAGGCAAAAATTCATATACATAATAAAATAAATAAATCAAAACAACCATCAATCAAACAGAGAGGGTGGGGATGTATTTCCTCTCTGCTAGTGACTTCATATGACACGTCGGGGGGCCTGCTAGAGAGTAGAAATATCTTACCCCACTGTCTATCCTGTGAGGGTCCTAGGGGGCACACTGTGGAGGGGAGAGGGCCAGACCCTGAGTCTGTCTCCTGAGGAAGCTAGGTGAGTTTATGCTGTAAGGAGACATCACAATACCCAAGCCCCCTCACCAGGGCCTCTTGCCTTGGCGTCCTCAGTGCCCTCCCAAGACACCCCGGGTGCCTCTGGATCCCTAACCACCAGAAGTCCCATTCCACCATCAAAGAAGACACTGGTCAAAGATGTTGAAAGTGAGATGACATCATGGGGCAGGGCTGGGTGGTCCAAGGTCACAGCAGTTGACAGGATTGAAGGGAGGTGAAGGTCCTTTCTAGGCCTGCTTGTGTTCCTGGAGCTGGGGCTTGGATTACGAGGCCGTGCCAAACTTGGTCCCTTCCTGCGGGCCTCTGCTGTCTTCTGTGGGGGCCGAGGGGGGGAGGCAGAGGAGAAAACTACCACCCAATTCCTCTGGTTCCTTTAGACTTGGCTTCTTCAGTGTGCCTTCCAGACTTTTCTGTTACCATCTCCTAGACAAATCTGTTAAGTTGCTGCTTAAATCTAGGTACAGGTTCTGTGTGTGTGTGTGTGTGTGTGTGTGTGTGTATGTGTGTATGTGTATTCCTCTCTATGTGTATATGTGTGTGGTGTGTATCTGTGTTCATGTGCCACTGTGTATATATGTATGTGTACCTCTGTGTGTGTATATGTGCCTGTGTATATATGTATGTGTACCTCTGTGTGTGTGTATGTGCCTGTGTGTATATGTGTGTGTGTGTGTGTGTGCCTCTGAGAGTGTATGTGTGTGACTCTCAGTGTGTATGTGTATGCCTCTGTGTGTATGTGTGTGCCCCTGTGCGTATATGTGTGTGTGTGTGTCTGTCTCTGTGTGTGTGCATCTGAGTGTTTGTCTGTGTGTGTATATGTATGTGTATGTATGCTTGTGTCCGAGTGTAGTGTGTGTCTGTGTGTGTATGTGTGTACATGCCATGGCATACCTAGGGAAGTTGGACAGTTTGCTGAAGTTGGTTCTCTCCTTTAACCATGTGAGTACTGGAGATCAAACACAGGTTGTCGGGCTCAGCTGCCAGCAGCTGTATCTGCTGAGCCATCTCACTGGCCCTAGTGTCTCTTCTTTAAAGTGTCGGGAATAAGCATAGAGTATTCTAACACACTCAGAGACTATACACAGTCGGTGGAGGGGGTGTTACAATTTGAACAGGTAGCTAGCTGTAGACCCAGGGTCTATCACCTGCTGTCTTTGGAGTCCCCTGCCCCCCCACTGAGGGCAAGGCAGCATACAGTGATAAGAGTGCTACACTATGCAAAGTCAATCTTATCACTCTGCCCACTGCATTCCTCTTAGTCACACTGCCTGCTGCATTCCAGGACAAGCTGGTGAAGTTGATGGCCATGTGGTGCCCATTTTGCAGAAGCTCGAAGGTTGCCTGACCTGTAAGGGCAGAGGCAGGCCAGATCTCAGCCTTCAACCTGGGAAGCCTTGATGTGTTCCACAATACCAGGTGCCCTGGGGTGCCCCAGGAGACTCCCAGCTGCCTCACCTCAATGGCATTTGCATTTCAGCAGGGCACACAGGTACCAGAAAGTGAGATAGTAAGGAGAGAATCTTGGTCCTGGGCCAGGGCTGGGGATGTAGACTAGTGGTTAGAGCTCTTGCCTAGAAGAAGTGAGAGAGACCCTGGGTTCAGTTCATCAGCACTTCAGACTAAGAAAAGGTTCTTGGCTAGTGTGGAATTGGCTTTCCAGGCTGGGATACTCAGGCCTGGGCCAAACCAGGTCATATACCCATGTCCTAACCGGGCCACATATCCATGGGCCTGAGGAATTTCAAGGACAGTGTCTTCACTGAAGATCAACCCTGAGAGCTTACCTTACGTAGAAAGTCATGCCTTTTCTAGTCTTTAATGTCTGTGGATGTGCATTTGCATGGCATGTATGCACGTGTGTGTACACAGAGGCTAAAGGAACATGTATGGTTTCCTTTTCTGTCACCGCCTACCTTAATCCTTTGAGGCAGGGTCTCTTACTGAGCCTGAAGCTAGGCTGGTAATGATATCCTGACTCTGCTGTCCACAGTGCTGGGTTTACAGGTGTACGCGTGGGCTGCCCTGGCTCATTTCCTGGGATCTGAACTCAGGTCCCCATATTTGTACAAGTGTACTTCTCCACTGGAGGGAACATCTCTCAGTCCCAGAGGGCCTTCTCGGTCTAGCCTCAGCCATTCTAAATCCTGATAGAGACAAGTACACGCTGACTGACACGTGGCTCTCAAAGGCCTTTGGGGCTGCCTGGGACATGAAGCAAGGGAGAGTTCTATCTGGATCCCCACTTGGAACTCTAACTTGGAAATGGAAGAGGGTTCCAGAAGGAAGGGTGTGGCCGTGAACCTCCTCTGCTTGTCTGTCAACGTCATTGTACTCTGTAGAAAGGAAGTATAAGAGACATCTTTGCAGTGTCTTCCTCAAGGCTCTGAAGCAGGTCTCCTCAGCTTTGGACTTGTTGGTCCTGGGCCGTGGGAATTCTTTGGTGGCGTGGTGCTGTCCTGAGCATGGAGGGTTTCTCTCTCTAACCACCCTCATGCCCAGGGTAAGGACCTGACAGGGCAGAGCTGGTTAAATGAAACCAGACATTAACCTGGAAAGAATGAAGCCAGGCCCAGCCTCCCTCCAGTGCCGGGTCCTGGGCAGGTGATGGATGCTCTCAGGCCACTGAGTTAACATGCATTAGTCACTCAGCTGTTCTGGTTTGGCCCCTGGGAGGGGCAGGGCAAGGCTGGGGCATGAGCGCTCTCTTCCTTCTTCCTCATTGGCTTCCTTTTCTTTCTTTTCTTGCTGTCCTTTTTTTTTTTAAAAAAAAAAAACTTTTTATTTTACATACATTGGTGCTTTTTTCCTGCATGTATATCTGTGTGAGGATGTCAGATTAGTTGAGAGATGCCATATGGGTGCTGGGAATTGAACCAGGGTCCTCTGGAAGAGCAGCCAGTGCTCTTAATCTCTGAGCCACCTCTCCAGCCCCTCTCTCTTTCCTTCTATTATTTTACTTATATGAGATGTGTTTCTGTGTGTGTGCGGCATGTATGTTGGTGCTGACAGAGTCTGGAAGAGAGTGTTGGACAGATCCACTGAAGCTGGAGTTACAGGTAGTTGTGAGCCATTCTGCATGAATGCTAGGAGCTGAACTGGAGGGTCCTTCGGAAGAAGAGCAAACATTCCTAATTGCTGAGCAGTCTCTCTAGCAACCCCCTCCCTTTTATTTTCTCTCTTCTTTCTTCCTCTCTTCTTTTCCCTCTACCTTCCATGAGCCATTCTTTTGCCAAGTTTCTATGAGGACTCATCTCTGGATGTATGAAGGCCCTGAATGTAGCAGCAGCAGTATCTAGAGCAGAGATGACAGGTGGGGGCCCAGAGCAGGTGTGTTCAGAACAGGTGTGCCTAGAGCAGGTGTGCCCAGAGCAGGTGTACCCAGAGCAGGTGTTCCTAGAGCAGGTGTACCCAGAGCAGGTGTGCCCAGAGCAGGTGTGCCCAGAGCAGGTGTGCCCAGAGCAGGTGTGCCCAGAGCAGGTGTACCCAGAGCAGGTGTGCCCAGAGCAGGTGTGCCTAGAGCAGGTGTGCCCAGAGCAAGTGTGCCCAGAGCAGGTGTGCCTAGAGCAGGTGTGCCCAGAGAGCAGGTGGATCCAGGCCCTGGACTGGGGCAGAGAGGGAAGGCTGTGTTGGAATTTTGGTTGTTGTGCAAGTCAGTTGTCAGAGTTCTGAAAAATATGGTGTGCTTTGTCACAAACTCTGTAAATTTCAACTGATGGTAGCTTAGATATCCATGAACCTCTGCTTCAGCATCAGAAAAACTGGGGTAAACACTCAGTTGTCTGTTAGGAGCTTTGGCAGAGATGAGTGAAACATGCTTGTTGCTGTGAAGAAACACCGTGACTAAGGAGACTTACAGAAGAAAGAGTTTATCGGGCGTATTGTTTTGGAGGGTTGGAGCCCATGACCATCATGATGGTAAGCATGGCAGCAGGCAGGCAGGCATGGTGCTGGAGCAGTGGCTGAGAGCTTACATGTTAAAACAGCAATCATGGGCAAAGGTGGCACATGACTTTAATCCCAGCACTCAGGAGGCAGAGGCAGGAGGATCTCTGTGATTTGAGGCCAGCCTGGTCTACAGAGCAAGTTCCAGGACAGCCAGGGCTGCAAAGAGAAACCCTGTCTCAAAACAACAACAACAAAAACAAAAAGATAACAACCATGTGGCAGAGAGAGCCAACTAGAATGGTGTGGGCATTTGAAACCTCAATGTCCACCCCCCAGTGAGATGCTTCCAACAAGGCCACACTTTCCCAATCCTTCCATAGTTCTACCAGCTGGGGTCTCTCTCCAGACTGTCTCGACCCAAGTAATGACACAGAGACCTTTTATTAATTATTAAAGCCTCAGCTTCCTTGTTGCCAACTAGCTCTTATAATTTAAATTAACCTACTTGCACTAGTCTAAACGCCGCATGGCTCGTTAGCTCTCCTCAGTACCACATCTGTTTCTTCCTTCACATCTGGCTAGCAAATCCCTTCACATCTGATTTCTTTCCCTGATTTCTTTTCCCATCTCTGCCCAGAAGTTCCGTCTCTTTTCTCCTCCTTTGCTGTAGGCCAGTCAGCTCTTTATTAAACGAATTGGGAGGAGATAGAGAAGATGTTTACCGAACACAGAGGCAAGTGATGCTTCATACAAATAACAGTACTGGAAGTCTTGTTCTCAACATTCTGTTCTGCAAAAATCAGCATTTGAATAATACAAAGGCAACCTTTACACAGATTATCCCAACAAGGGACCAAGTAGTCAAACCTTTGAGCCAGTGGGGCCTATTCTCATTCAAACCACTGCAGTAGAAGCTTGATTCTGTCAGCAAAGTTATCTGCCCTCCCCTGGGGCTTCTGTCAGCTCCCTAGCCATTCTGAAGCACCTGCCTCTGTCATCCCAGGTCCTAGCCTCCAGGGGCCAAGAGGTCAGGATGCCAAGTCTCAGATTGCAAGCTGAAGGAGGAGGTCCCAGTGTTTTCAGAAGTCTCAGAATGGAGACTCCTCTTGCTTTCTTGTTTTCTGAGGAAGCACCTTGTGCATCCTGGGGCTTTGAACTCACTATATAGTTGAGGATGGCCTGGGTCCTCATCTTCCTGCCTTTGTCTCCAGAAGAGCAACAAATGCTCTTAACCATTGAGCCACTTTTCCAGGCCCAGTTTGCAACTTTCTAAAATTGTGTGTACCTATTTTAGTCCCTCCTGGCAAAGGACACCGTCTTGGAAACGTGAGGGGATCCAAGTCTGGGTGCTCACCACACAACAGGGGAGTCAAGTCATAAGACAGGGTGTTGAGGGAAGGAAGGTGATTTTATTCAAGCAACTGGCTCAAGGAGAAGATAGAGGACTCGTGTCCGAGTCTCATCTTGCTGGGAGGTCGACTTGGGGGACGGTTTATGGGGTGGTTGGAGAGTGTCTGACCACAGTGAGGGATGCCTGGGCACCTTCTCATGGAGGGCTAGCCAGTGAGAAGTTCATAGCCATGCACAGAGAGAGTTTTCATTTCTGCCAGTATTAAGAACAGGGACTATTTTCTCAAGCTCTTCTTGCCTCTGCTTCCTTTGCCCACATGCAGATTGGCTAGAGGGGCCACTTACCCAGAGATCCTCTCTCTGGCTAAACTTAAGAACATGAAAGAAAATATCTTTCCTCTGATGTCTACGGAAGACAGTGTTAAGTGATGTGATGCGGATCTGCCAAAGAACCGGCTCAGCTTTGGGAGTGGCACAGGTCGTGATAGGACAGGGGCTAGAGCAGGCTTGGAACAACATTCCCTGAAGAGGAAGGCTGTCGGGAGAGCTCCTTGCCTGGGGAAGATAAGAAGACGTTCGAAAATGAGGAATGAGGTCCCATGCTGTCATGTGTTGCCTGGGAAAGTAGTTTGTAAATCAGATACCAAGGTTCTATTTGACTTGAGCCCCCAGCTGCTGTAGGAGGGCTCCACTCTCCCTAACCCCATTATCTTTTTGGCTTCTTTTTAGAGCTCTGAGGCTGGGGAGAGAGAGAAAATGGGTGGTAGTCGAAGGCCCAGAGACAGAATCTAATATTCTAGTCCACATGCTGGTTGGTGGTCACCCACAGGCAGCCTTCTGATTGTATTATCCCAACTCTGAAAGCCCTCGAGAAAAAAGGAACTTGAGAGCCAGAGACAAGAGGATCAGGAATCCCAGGCCATGACTGGGCTACCCCATTGAGCTTGAGGCCAGCCTAGGCTATATGAGAATTCCTCTCAAAACAAAACCCAAACAAAACCCACAAAGAAACACATAAAAAGAAACAGATGAAAAAAAAAAAAGAAAAGAAACGGACGTCTCATTCTTGGGAGATGGCATGGTGCTGTGACAAACATGGCGGTTCTGTCATAGGACACTGAAGACATGGGATAGCAGAGGGTAAATGAATGTCAGAACAGTGGGAACGACATGTCAGTGGGGGGGACTCTTAGCAGTGGGGAGCCCTGTCAGCCAAGAGCAGAGGTTAGGGGGAGGCGGGCATAGGTAGGCAAGGCACAGCTGTAACAATGGGAGGTTCTAAATCAGAACCACATCAGCAGCTTGGAAGGTGGGGTGCCCTCTACTAGAATTCAGTTGAGGTGAACCTACATTTCCAGATCACTCTCTAAATGCTTCGGTTTGGAGCAAAGAACCAGGATTTGAGGAGCGTCTATGTCACGGGTAAGGGCCTTCCTAAAGACAGTGAGCGAGAGAGCTCGTTCTGGCTTGCACTGATTGGATTCTCGAATAATTTGGAGGTAGCCAAAACAAAGGCGAGAGGGACTGGAAACAGAAGCAGACGAGTGAAGACCAACCGTCTACACAGGGTGGGTGACAGGACACAGGATGGGAAGGGCTGGATAGTTGGTGCCACATTAAACGTCTTGCATTCTAGAATAGATGCTTTGGGATTTTTTCCAGACACACACACACACACAAATAGATCACATGGCTATTAAAACCAAAAGTAAACTTTGGGGCGAATGGAAAAGGCAAGAGGTTGAAGGGAGAGTGACCCCAAAGGTCACTGGGGTGGCAATACCCAGGTTCCCTGCCTGCTGGGCTGGCGGGTGTTGCTGTTAATTGGGCAGAAGTCCACAGGCAAGGCCTAGGGGGAGGGGCTTGAAGGCGGTCCACTGCTCTGGAGGTTCTAGCATCTTGGCCAGTGAGCTTTGGACTCCATATGGTGCCCCATTCTCCTTCTTACCCAAGCAACTGAAACATCAAAGTCTGGTGCCCCAGCGTTCGGCCCTGCCAGCTTTCTCCTCCCTTTTCTCTCCTTAGGATTCACAGAAATCCTTACTCCTCAGCCATGGGCAAAAGACGACATCCGACAAAAAGGCAAAGGTGCCGCCGACGCCGCTGTCCCGGAAATGGAAGCAGGACCGAGCGCAGTCTCTGGAGGCAGATTACATACCAGTGGTGGTGGATCCTCGCGGGCAGAACCCAGACACTAGTATCAGGTTCAGTTTCTACAAGTCACAGTATTCCAACTCTCTAACCCCCTTCTACACCCTGCAGAAGCCCACCTGTGGCTACCTGTACCGACGAGAAACCGACCACACCCGCAAACGCTTTGATGTTCCTCCAGCAAACCTGATCTTGTGGCGCAGCTAGGTCCATGGCGTCTGGAAGTCCCCACCCTGCACCTTCATCCTGGGTCCCAGAGGGAAAGATCGTTCATGCCTGGAGAAGCGGTGTATACCTGGGCTAGCCGGGTATGCCTGTGACAGCTGAGGGAGGCCTCTTCTCAATAGCAATAAACTTTGTCCTTCTTTTTTCTGGCATCTAAATGGATAGGGTTGCCACCTGGTGAGTTTATCCAGAAGGGCCTGAAGAATTGAAAGGGTTTCTTCTTAGTCCCTCTGCCCCAAGGATGTGCTTCTCCCAGGGCGCAATGTCAGTGCTGACCTCAGCATTCCCATAGGCCACGCTTGACCATGCTCCCCAAAGCTAAAACAGCCGCTGCTGAATGGATCCTGCTCTCTCGTGAGATCATCTTATCCCAGACTGTAACAGCCATGGGGGCATGGAGAACAAATGCAGGAAGCGAGCAGGTTTTTAGTAACCATTTCTGTAAAAACAGCCTTTTGGTTTGTTTTGATAGGGTTTCACACAGTCCATTCTTGTCTCGGCTATATTCTTGTTATGTAGCTGAAGGTGATCTGGAACTTCTGACCCTCTTTTCGTACTGGTCAAGGATCACAATAGACCACACTCACGGTCTACTGAGGGGTCATGCATGCTAGACAAGACTGCTACTAATTAAGCTATGTTCCTGATTGTTTCTGGCTTTTTTGTTGTTTTTTTTTTGGGGGGGGGGGTGGACAGAGTCTCTCTATGTAGCCCTGGCTGTCCTGGAACTCATTATGTAGACGAGGCTGGCCTCGAACTCAGAGATCTCCAGGCCTCTGTTTCCCGAGTGCTTAGATTAAAGGTGTGCACCACCAAGTTGGCTTATTGTTTCTGGCTTTTTTTTTTTTTTACACTGTCGATATCTTCAGACACACCAGAAGAGGGCATCAGATCCCATTACAGATGGTTATGAGCTACCGTGTGGTTGCTGGGAATTGAACTCAGAACTTCTGGAAGAGCAGTCAGTGCTCTTAACCTCTGAGCCATCTCTCTATCTCCCCGTCTGTCTTTTGTTGTTTGCTGCAGGCTAGCTCCACAAGCTTCCCAGGTTTTTGGCTTTTTGAGACAAGAGGGAGAGAAAAAAGGACCCAAGAAAGAGGCTGTTCTAACCTGTGCCGCCAGCTGCTTACCGTGGGCACTCCTTCAGCCTGCCAACTATGGTTCATTCCACCAGTTTGTCCTTTGTCCCCCATTTTCAGAGGGCCCTCCCATCCTCCCAAGACTGTACCCCTGCCCCCAGACTGGGGCCTCTCTTGGTTCAGCAGCATAGCTTTTACCCAGGTCACAGGAGCGAGGCCTAGGATGCCTGTTCTCCAGTTGTACAGAGGGTATCTGGTGCTGCACGCCTTTCATCCCAGTGCTCAGGCAGAGATAGAGGCAGAGGCAAGGCAGGCTGGTATCTATGAGTTCTCGGGCTGCCTGGTCTATATCAAGTTCCAGATTGACCAGGGATACACAGCGAGAATGTCTCAAAAAGAGAAAAAAACAATAAAACTGCCAACTACACCACACACACACAGAGGCACACACACACAGACACACACACACACTCTGTCTCACACAAACTCACACACACACTATCACACACACAGACACACACACTCACAGACACACACAGACACACACACACAGACACACACAGACACACACTCACACGCACACACACACACAGACACACACTCACACACACTTACACACACACGCACACACACACACAGACACACACATACACCGACACACACCGACACACACAGACACAGACACACACAGACACACAGACACACGCAGACACAGACACACACAGACACACTCACACACACACTTACACACACACACACACACACACACCATTTGTGCAGCTCATTTCCTTTTGCACGAGCTGTTGACCAGTCCTATTTTATGACCCCCACATCTTGCACCACAGACTTGACTCCAGGGGCCCTGGCTCACTCCCTTTTTGAGCCCGAGGCCTCTGTGGCTAGGATTAGATCTGTGTTTGAACCCTTCTTTTCTTCCTTGAGAACGAGGAGGCTGCCTTTAAGAAGCGGTCCCGCGTCTCACAGGGATGGGGTGGAGTGGAGTGTATTAATCCCAGCATTAACAGTTTGTCAGGATTCTGTTCTCCACGCTAATAAATCACCATTTTTGCCAGTTCCCTTTTCAACCTGCCCCTTTGAGGTGGAGTTTTATCTTGTAGCCCAGGCTGGCCTGGATCTTGCTGTGGCCCATACTGGACTGGAAGTTGCCATCCTCCTGCCTCAGCCTCTCCTGAGTGCTGAGATTACAGGCATACACCACTACGTTCACCTTGTCTGCCGTCTGCCTTAATCTCTTGGGACTTGTATTTAAAAAACCATTTGTTGCCGTTTTGATGGAGTTTGGAGAAGCATCAGAGAGGAGTGCTGTGTTCAGGCTGTGTGCATATAAGGGATCTTAACCATTAATGCAATAAATTAATGTTATTACAACAACGAGACTGGGACCTTTCTTTGAGAGGCAGAGAGACCACCAGAATCATCTGCGCCCTTCCAGACCGTTCGACCCATACTGAGGGTACAGGGTTGGGTTCTCAGCAGGAGTTTAACTTCATAAACTTTAACTTCATCAGGGCCTTTGCGCCCCCTGGAGTTTTATCTCGGAAGTACAGCCTCCAGGGCTCCGTTTAAGAAGCTGCCCCGCAGAGTGGTGTGGAGTGTATTAATCCCAGCATTAACGATTTGTCAGGATTCTGTTATGTAGGAGTCAGAATGAGCTCACTCATACCCCGACTTCTGCTATCCTTCTGACCTAACCACGCTTCTTGGTCCATTTCGTTCGACTATAAAACTATCCACCTCAGCATGGCGCCTTGGGTCCTATCCTCCCCGTGCCTTTCTGCGATTACGCATGCGCCTCAGACTTCCCTGGTTTTGTCCCCGTGGGTGCCTGTCACGCCCCCTCCCCCATTCTGCAGTCACTCTGTATTTGTTCACACTTCAACCCTTTCTGCAATCGCGCGTTTGCACATTTGTTCCTTGGCCATGTATCCTGAGCTCAGTCTCCTCCCAAATGTGAATCTGAAACCTGGTCTTGGTGGTACAGGCCTGTGATCCCGGATACGCATGAGGTGGAGGCCAGGGAATCACACCTTGAAGGCCAACCTGGGCATTTAAGTTAGACCTTGTCTCAAAATAGAAGGTCAAAAATCCCGGGGAGGTGGTTCAGTGGTCGAGAGCCTGCCTAGTTTCAGTTCCCAGTTAAACAAGTCAAGATGTTACTCTCAAAAAAATATTAATCAAGGGCATTGGAGAAGTGGCTCAGTGGTCGAGAGCCCTGACTGCTTTTCCAGAGGACCCGATTTGGTTCCCAGCACCCTAAGCTAAGAACAATGTGTCACTTCAGTTCCCGAGGATCCCACACCTTCTTCTGGCCTCTGTGGGCGCAGCACACACAGTGCACTGACACGCACGCAGGCAAAACATCCATGCACGTTAAAAAAAAAATCACAGAGGGACATTGAGAGGACTGAGAACAGAGACACGGACACGGTTGTAGGTGACGCCCCAGTGAGCAGCAGCAGAAGGACACGCACCTTACCTGCTGAGGGGAGGGAGGGGAGTGTTGCCATGGGAACTCAAGAACTGGGGAGTCCATTTCTTCACCGTGTGACCCAGCAGCAGCAAGAGGTGAAGGCGGTGGTACCCTGTCCATCACTCCTGCATTTTCCTTCTCATCCAGTTCATCTGAGAGGACGAGCAGCAGTGAGTCACAGGAGAGAAGAGAGCCGGCCTGCAGGGCTCAGTCTTTGGGGATCAGTGTCTGCTTGGATGTGGTGGGGAGGAATAACCAGCAAGAGAACACACAGAATAGGAGGTACTAGGTGGTGAAGGCTACAGACTATCTGCCTTCTGGAAGCTTCTAGGTTCCTGAGGGTAGCCTGGCCACACAACTATTTGCAGTTCTGGAAGGAATAGAGTGTTGTGTCTCTGTTATTGTCCAACGGCAATTGTTACCGAAGATCCTGAGATATCCCTGGTGAGTTCCACCTCCCAATCTCTTGTCTGTGTACAGCCTTCTCCCCTGGAGTGTTGGTGAAGCCTATAACTTGATTCCATAGAATCCATAGAATGTGACAGAGGTGATGGTATGTCACTGTCCTGAGAGGCTAGTTTGTATGACCCTCCAGTTAGCTGTTGAAGGAGCCTCCCCTTACTGGCTTGATGGAACAGAAACTGTGGGCAGATTATAGAAAACACACTACACACACACACA